TTAAAATATCTCGTATGTGGTCAAATTAATATTAACATAAATATAAGTTACAATACTATAACTCTAAGCATATAAATTCTGAATCACTCATATGCAAGCCATAAATACACTCTATATTTCTATCAAACCATATTTTATTCTTCTTTTACAAAAACCATGATTTCTAACAATTTTCACTTATTTTTATCCCGTTTAAAATATCTATATATGATAATATTATAGTCACCTTAAAGATAAATTGCAACACTACGCGTTTATAATTAATTTTTTTAAAAAATCAATTTCCCACTCGAAAATAGTATTCAGACAAGGCTATTGTCCTCGCGCTTTGCAGGACTCGATGTCTTCCATAAATTTCACGATATTTTGGACCATAAAAGTTTCTTTGCGCTTCGTAATGCACGATATCATTTTATCTAATTACTTTATTGGTTTACTTGGAAAGCGCACCCACATCAGATGTATCTCGTGTGTTGAAGTGTACGAAATTTAACATGCTGTTTGCATGTCGCGAAGTCGTCCGATGTGGACATTTTGAAGGCTATTCTTCCAAATAATTTATAGAGGACTTTTTTTTAAATAATTATTTATTTGAGATTTTTATATAAAATTATTCTTTATTTATTTAAGCCACCTGATTCTTCCTAATTTTATGGGGAAGCTCGCCTTCATTTTAATATCTATTGCATGACCCACTTTTGAAGGCTATTCTTCAAAAATTTATAGAGGACTTTTTTTAAATAATTATTTATTTGAGATTTTTATATAAATTATCTTTATTTATTTAAGCCACTGATTCTTCCTAATTTTATGGGGAAGCTCGCCTTCATTTTAATATCTATTGCATGACCCACTTATTTTATACTATCAAAATCACTGTATCTGATAAGACCATGGTACGCCGTTGATTTCAAAGTATGTTGTGTACTAATTCATTATAAGACTATTAAGCAATCCCCTTTTCGACCATGAAATTGCTTCAAATGTTTGCGTTTTTTCCCTCTTTATTTTCTATCTGTTGATAATTAATAAAGGGTCAGAGTTGTTCGTTTGTTTACTGTCTGCATCCGTGGAGTGAAGTCAAACCAAGTGAAGAAAAAAGAGATATTAATGGTGAGATCAATGCCACACCTGCACCTCCTCGATGGGTTGCTTTCTTCATCAAATCCCAATGAAAACTTCTCAGAAACTTACAGACATAAGAAAACTACTGAATTAAACGCCCTGGCTATCATGTCATTATTTAAAATAATTATTATAATATTATGGTAATGTTTTATTTCAATTTTATAATTTATCTACCCATAATATATATATATATATATATGTTTATATTATAATATTATTTAATATATCAAATACAATATAAAATTATGAACTATATACATAATATTATTTTAAAGAAAGTATTTTGAGGGTAAAATATTAATGATAATATAACTGAGTCAAGAAATTTATGAGAAGAAATAATTCACAATAATTGTAGTTAAAATCCAAATTGAGTAAAATTTAAAGTTAGGGGACTAAATAAAAAATATAGTACATCTTAGTAAAATAACAAATGAAGTTACATAGGTATTCTATTGATATATGAGCATGTGGTTCAAATTTGGTAATAAGAGACTTAAAATAAATCACAAATTGAAGAAATAATGAGATTATGAAAAATTGAAGGACTAAATTGAAAAAAAGGAGAATTGAAAGTACACATGATACTAATATATTTTAGGGGCTTGCTGCTCAAATTGGTAAAAATGACTTAAAATAAATGATAAATTGAAGAAATAAGGAGATTATGAAAAATTGAATGACTATATTAAAAACAAATTGTTATAAAAAAAGAATTGAAAGTACACATATATTTTACTATGGTTTAGGAGTATGTGGTTCAAATTTAAAAAAAATAGGCTTAAAATGAGAAGGAATTGAAGAATAATGAATCAAATACTAAATTGTAAAAATATCAAAATGCTTGTCAAATTTTCAGTTTTTCAAATAACTCGAAAATTTAAAATTTCAACTTAACTCGAAAACTGAATTTATAATTCAAGTTGAATCGAATAACTCGACTCAAATAACTCAAAATAAAACAAATAATTTTTCAAGTCGAATCAAATTTTATTCACCTCTAATTAAGATATTCATCTCTCCTAAAATTTTAAAACTTTTCCTTTATGTTCTATATTAATATTTTTTTCATCGACTGTTTAATTTTTATAAATTTACGTACTCATAAAAATTTTAAAAATTATTTTCTGATATAAGATTATGCATTCATCTATATCAATACAAATTTCATCATCTCGTCTAAACCCCATTTCCCTCAAATCCTGAAACTTGTCTACGATTGTGTTCTTGATGATAAAAACCATGCAACGTTGATGTCTGAGACAAAAGTTCGATAGTATAATGAAGAGCAAGGGTCCTGATCTGATGTTTTCTAAGGGGGTGAGTTGTGGGGCCTGCACCGAAATCATGTTCACATAAGCATTCACTTTTCCAAAATGTATATAATATGTTAAAGAGAAGGGGAAAAAAACTGAGTTGAGTGATTAAAGTTACGTCGCCAGAACTCAGAAATGGAACTGAGTTTGCAATTTTCCAGAATCCAGCAGAGGGGGCCTTTCACTTCTTTTCACAACGTCCAAATCTCTGCTTTGCTCTCACCCGTCACAAACAAAAGCTTTATTTTTATTTCACTCATTATATTTTAAATTTTGTTAAATGTTCATTAAACATAATATATTAGATTTTTTATCATTGAATCGTTTCTTATTAACTGTTAAATAGGCTCTTATATAAAAATTTTTTTTTTTAAATGTCATCATTTTACAATATAATATTTAATGGTAGATTGACAAAAAAAAAATTACAATATAATAAATTCAGTAGGTGAGTAAAATAAAAGAGACTTAATTTTAATGATGAAATTTGTAATTACTTAAAATACAAAAAGAGAGAAAAGTAGCAGATTCCATAATGGAAGCCAGACCAGACATGCGCTTTTGTTTTGTAAGTACAAAAAACGATGGCGTTTTAAGGTGGTCTTCTTTCTTGTACCTACACACCATTGGGAAATGGTCATGCGTGCTCACTCGGTTTCGTGTCCTCTTCTCGAGACCCAAAGTGGAACAAACTTGAGCAGAGTATAAACTCAGGTTTCTTCTGAAACTCAAACTATTCTCTTTCACCCTGGAAATTGCAGTGTTTTCACAAATCCTGGGAATTCTTCATTGCATTTCCTTTCTATATTGTTTTTAACTAATGCTCCCAAGTCCCAACCTTCTCACTCTGTTCGTCTCTAAGAAAAACAAAAGGAAAACTTGCTTAAAGAAATAGGGAATCTCAATTCAGCTAAAAAGAATTGTCTCCCCCACCCTAAATTAACGAGTTTGATCCTGATAGATGTTGCAAGAGATTCTCAAGCTCTTTAAAAATAGAAAAATAAATAAGTTGTTTTGGCTCAACTTACAGCTTTGAATGATTCAAAATGGCGGAGTCAAGCAAAGTGAGGTTGGTTAGTGTCCAAAGTGTGAAAACCTTCTTCCCGAGCTTGCTGATTATTCGGTTTACCAGTGTGGTGGTTGTGGCGCTGTTCTTCGAGGTGCCCTTGCTTTCTCTTATCTCTTTCTTTCTTTTTCCTAGTCGTTTGTTTGGTTTATGAGAATATTGCTGGGGAAACTCCATTTTGGATCTTGATCGATGTTAACCTTGTTATAAATGTTGAAACTTAAACCAATTGGTTAGATCTAAGGGTTAGGTGTAGTTAAGGTATGGGCCATGTATGGTGTTCTTTTTTTACTATGAAATCTTATTTGAATCGAATTGTTAGTTAGTCCTTTGCATTTATCAACAACGGGCAAGATGCATTCTGGGAAAACTCGATGGCATAATGTCCATGATCCATTGATGATTAAGCCTACCGTTTTCCAAAGAAAATGAAACAACTGAGAGGACTTAAGCCTCGTTATTTCGAAAATCGGAATCTATTATGGTCATAACACAACTCTCTGGATTAGTTTTAGTTGCAATCGAAATAATGAAACACTTGAGGCTTTGATTTCGGTTTACTGTTGTTTTCTGAATCTTTTTCTCCTAGTTTAATGGTGGAATGTTGTTTGTTTAACAGCAAAAATCAGGAATCGCGATGCCAATACTTTCTCTGACGACAAGTCGGAAGAAGGCAGGCTTGGCAGAGTTTGTAACAAATCGCAAACTTTTTCGGAGAAGGGGGTAGTAGATTCGGCTGATGCAGATGCTAAATCAAGTTCTGGCTTTCTGATGTCTGATCAACGGGATCGAGAGAACAATGATGTTGAGTGCTCTGATAGAAGTATGAATGAACCTAAGGTTGCCGGCGTTAAATGGTCTGTCGAAAATGCAAATGATCTTAGCAGGAAAAAGGATGAAATAGCGAATTCCATTGGGAGAGAACAGGAAGTGGATTCGAATTTCAGATATACTGGAGGATCACAAAGAGTGGGACAGATGTCTGGTTGGCAAGCTGGGAAGCGAGAAGAGATGGAGCAGTTTCAAAGAATTCCAAGACCTGTTGTTGAAGGTGTGCGATTTTCTACCTCGAAACATCCAGATGCAGGCCCATCAAATCATATTTGGATTCTTCTTATGGAGAATCATTGCAGAATCAAACTGAACTGGATGGTTCCTGTAGAATTCACCTTGAACAAGGTCGAGCTGAGCTTCTGAGGAAGCTAGATGAGCTGAAAGAGCAACTTAGTCGGTCTTGTGATGTGGTTGATAAACCAAAAGAGAAGGTTCTGCTTGATGGGAAGGTTGTTCCTCCAGAGTCTTACGGTGGTGGTGATAGCTGGTTACCAAATGGTTATTCAGGTTCGCGGAAACCCTCAATGCTTTTCTATGGACCTGATAAACATGCTGCAGAAGCAGGACCCTCTTATTTTAGCTATTTCCCAGAAGCATTTGCTTATCCTGTAGAGCATGATGACTCGGCACGGGATGTATCCTCCGATGCATAATCCGAATCACATTCCTCCGTATGGAGATCCTTTGGATCCAAAATGCTTGGAAGAACCCAACACCAGTTCCTTGGAGAATATCAACAGCCACGTCATCCATACTTTTCCGGGCAGTACATTGAAAATAATCATGATCCATTTATGCCATATCCACGAAGTTCAGTGTTGCATCAGGCTTCTTGTTCTTGCATTCATTGTTATGAGAAACATCAACGAGTTCCAGCACCTATTCATCCCGGTTCATTTGGCAATAAAAGGTTCCATGATGTGCCTGGTAACCCATTATACCATATTGACAACCCTGGGTCTTTTGGTTCGCGTTTCTATAGTTCGAGGACTACAGTTGCCCCATCGAATGTGGGTACACAAGCTTATGCTAGATGGCCCAGTGATATTAACTCGGAAATAGATGGTTTTGTTCGTTGCTGTCCCCAGAGGGTGGTGTTAGCCAGTGGCGGGCACCATATTCGTCCTATGGCTGGTGGTGCTCCGTTTATAACATGTTATAATTGCTTTGAATTGCTACAAGTGCCCAAGAAAGTGCAGCTCATGGAAAACAATGAACATAAATTGCGGTGTGGAGCCTGTTCAACTGTGATAAACTTTACCGTCACCAACAAGAAGATCATTCTTTGTGATCAAGCAGAAACAAAGGGAATTTCTGTAGATGATAACTCTAATGAAGGCTGTGTTAACCGAGTCGCTACTCACTTCTCCTCCGATGACTATGATCTATCAGGTTATGATTTTCAGCCAATGGACAGAGAACCTGTGGCAGTGTCAACTGGCCAGGCTTTGAAGTCGGTCAGATCTCAGGAAATGCAAAGCTTCCACTCTTCATCTCCAAGCAACTCCGAGGACGAAAACAGTCCAGATGTTTTAATTGCTTCAAGAGACGAAGTAAATTCTGTTCCACAGCCAACAAAATCTACTTTGTCTCCATCGCCTGCAGAGTCGCCTCTTCAAGAACATTTTGATTACTCTTCTACCAATCATGTAGCCAACCGATTCGGGAAGGGAAATTGTAGTAGCCGCTCTTATCAAGAGAAAGTTGTGTCAAACAAGGGTACCACACGACAAAATTCTTTAAAAGAGGCATTGCCTACTGAGATGGAGGTGTCATTCAACGAGTACTCTAATACTGGGATTTCTCAAGATTCAGGGGATGCAACAAGAGAAGATCAACCAAAGATGGCAAGAGGAGGTGAATCGTTTTTTGCAAATATTATCAAGAAGAGTTTTAAGGATTTCTCAAGATTTAATCAAACCGAGGAACGTGCGAAAAGTAATATTTCAGTTAACGGTCACCCTCTTCCTGAGCGTGTGGTTAAAAAAGCCGAGAAGATGACTGGAACAATTCTTCCTGGACAGTATTGGTAAGCATTTGTTGATATTTTTCCTGATATGTGCTGACTTTCGCTTGTTTCTTTGTATGTCTGTTGTGATAGAGATGCATGTAATTTCTAGTGTATTTCAATAACAGACATTCTTGTTTTGCGCATATGACTAAATCAGGTATGATTTCCGAGCTGGATTCTGGGGTGTTCTTGGCGGGTCTTGTCTCGGCATAGTTCCGGTAAGAACGAATAATTTTATCTTGATACTAACGGTTTAGCATTTTGTTGTTCTTTGGTTTTTCAAAATATATATGTTATAAGAAACCCAAATTTCTATTGCAGCCTTTTATCGAAGAACTTAATTACCCAATGCCGGAAAATTGTTCTGGTGGGACCACCGGTGTTTTAGTAAACGGGAGAGAGCTCCATCAGAAAGATTTAGATTTGCTTGCTAGTAGAGGGCTTCCGACGGACAGAGATCGATCTTACATCATTGAGATAACGGGCAGAGTTCTGGATGAGGACACTGGTGAAGAGCTAGATAGCCTTGGCAAACTTGCCCCAACGTAAGTACATAATTTCAACAGTCCTTTCTATTAATTATTGTGAGAATAGTACATGATCTTAGGCATTGATGGTACTAAAGTCTACTTGTCATGAATACAAGTGTTAGTACATCATACCGACATCGCACATCATCCTGCTTGCTTCGTTGTCTGTCCTTTATAACTTTGAACTCGTGGTTCTTCTAATTATGGATTGCTGTTAAATTTTATTTATCACAAGATGGGATTTCTTTGTTAGGATACTTATCCTGAAGCATTTTTGACCCGATTTTTAACAGTGTCGAGAAAGCGAAGCACGGTTTTGGCATGAAAGTTCCAAGATCAACTGCATAAAGAATTTGTAATGATCACGGGCTCACAGCAGAAATAGTCGTCGCGTTAAACCGTCCGAAGTCTGAATGAACGTTTCTGATATATTTGGTATTTCACCCGGTGTTTGGTAGGACACATTCTAAATTTATTGCGTTCTCTAGGCTGCAATTTGTATATGCAAATTATGTGAATTTATTAACTGGCAAAAAGAATATTGTTATGGCCAGAGGACCTTGGTTCGAACAGCTGCATATCTTAAGCACCTGTTTCCGTTATTAGCATCAGTGTTTCATGAGACAAGCACAATGCAAGATATGTAACCAAAACCGGTAACACAAAAAGAGGGAAGGAAATAAGGAACTAAGAGGTAGATCCTGCTTTTATCATGTTGATTTGCAAAGTTGTCTGCCTGGTGCAACTTTAAGTAATGTTCTTAAACACAATGCAAGCGTTTAAGGACATGGCAGCCGAGTTGTTATAAGAAACAGAGGAGAAACTACCACAAATTACACAACAATCAGATTTGATATTATTCAACAATTAACTCATGCTCCAAACAGCCACCTAGGCATCTGTTTGCTCAAGAGAGGTCATTAAATTTAGGGTAAAGTACATAGGTCATTGAACTAGGTTTAAATGATCATTATGATCATTGACCTTTTAAAACCTACAAAAAATTATTAAACGTATCGAATTTTTACAAAATGATCATTAAATTTGATCAAACAATTATAAAACAATCATTAAATTTATCAAACTATTACAAAATGGTCATTAAATATATCAAATTTTTACAGTTATTATAAAGTCACAATGACCATTTTCTAACAGTTTGATAAATTTAATTATCATTTTTTGATTTTGAAATTTAGTGACCAACCCAATCATTTGAGCATGATTTAGTTACCTCTAGTTTATTTTACCCTTAAATGTATTGATAGGGAGTGAATTTTGTGTGTAAATTCATCCTTTGTCTCCAACTTAAACAGGGGCAACAATAACACAGCCAGTCACATTGTTGACCGGAATAAAAATTTGGAAGAAACAAGGGGGCAAACGGCAAGGGCAAATACTTTATTTGCATGCACGAATGATGTGTTGAAAGTATTAAAATAGTTTCAAGTTTGGTAACCAACTTTGAAAAAATGGTTTTCAAAGTTGGTAAATGTTTCTTTGAAAATGGTTTTCAAAGTTTGGTAAATGTTTCTTTGAAAAATAGTTTTTCAAAGTTTGGTAGATGTTTGTTGAAAAATGATAATGGGATAATCACAATTAATCCCTAGGTTTTACGGTATTTACAAGATTAAGTCCTTAAGTTTCAACTATAAATACCCTAGCTCATTTAGCTTCAAAACTATCCCAAAAATCATTTCTTTCTCCCAATACTAGAGAGCTTTCTTATGAGTAGTGAGTGTTTTGTAAACACCTGTAAATTTTTTCTCTTAGTAAAAGATCTGCAGCAGTCCGGAGACGTAAGCACAATTGGCCGAACTCCGTTATCAATTTCGGGTATTATTTTTCCGCTTTTATTTCGTATTCTCACTAATCTAACTATAGGGAAATTACTTGTTACTTGGTTTATTTCCCAACAACTGTTATCAGAGCTTTTTGGTTATGAATTTTGTCAATTTTTGCGAGGTTACTATTCAGTGAATAGTGAATTTCGTGAATAGTAAAATTTTGTCGGCGATACAAATTTGTCGACGGAGGTGTTCTAATACACGGTGGTTCGCAAGAATTATCAGAAACGATCCAAACGAAACCAGATTCGAGTGGGAGCGATGACTGCAGACGAAGGGAATGTGAAAATTGAAAAGTTCGATGGTGCGGACTTTGGCTTTTGGAAGATGCAGATTGAAGATTTTCTGTACCAGAAAAATCTATATCAACCTCTCTCAGGAAAACAACCAGAGGGCATGAGGAATGAAGACTGGGCTTTTCTCGACAGACAAGCCATCGGAGTTATCCGACTGACGTTATCCCGCAATGTTGCTTTCAACATAGCAAAGGAAAAGACCACGGCGGGTCTTATGACGACTCTCTCCAGTATGTATGAGAAGCCATCGGCCTCAAACAAAGTTCATTTGATGAGGCGATTATTTAATTTGCGGATGACGGAAGGGGCATCGGTGGCACAACACCTAAATGAACTCAACACAATCACAACCCAGTTGAGTTCAGTGGAAATTGAATTTGATGATGAAGTTCGAGCTTTAATTCTCTTATCATCTTTACCAGACAGTTGGAATGCTAATGTTACAGCAGTCAGAAGTTCGTCAGGAAACAGCAAATTAAAATTCGACGATGTTCGGGATCTGGTACTGAGCGAAGAAATTCGACGGAGAGAATCGGGTGAAGCATCAACCTCCTCAGCCTTGCACACGGAGTCCAGAGGGAGAACTTCAGAAAGAAATTCAAATCGTGGCAGATCGAAATCCAGAAGGGGAAAATCAAGAACAGGAAATAAAGATTTTACCTGTTATAATTGCGGCAAGAAGGGCCACTTCAAAAGAGATTGCCGAGCACCGAAGAAAATACCGGCGCACAGGAATCTGCCAACATGACGGAGGAGACAGGTGATGCTATGATTTTAAGCGTCAACAGTCCGATTGAATCATGGATTTTGGATTCAGGGGCATCTTTCCACTCCACGCCATGCCAAGAAATCATGGAGAACTATGTCAGTGGTGATTTTGGGAAGGTTCTTGCTGATGATGAAACCTTGAAGATCGTCGGAAAAGGAGACATCCGACTAAAGCTGCCAAACCAGACCACCTGGAAGCTGACAAGAGTGAGACATATTCCTGGTCTCAAAAGAAATTTGATTTCTGTAGGACAGTTTGATGGAGAAGGATACAGTACAACCTTTTCAGGCTGTGAATGGAAGATTACCAAAGGAGCACTCGTCATTGCTCGTGGTAAGAAGACTGATACTCTCTATGTAACCTCAAATTTAGAGAATATCATTGCAGTAGCAGATGTTGATGGAAAATCAAACCTATGGCACCAAAGGCTTGGCCATATGAGCGAGAAAGGAATGAAGATACTTCTGTCAAAAGGGAAGCTGCCGGATCTAAAGAATGTAGATGTCGGACTATGCGAGGATTGCATCTTTGGTAAACAAAAGAAAGTCAGTTTTGCAAAGATTTGTAAGACACCCAAGGCAGAAAGGTTAGAATTGGTTCATATTGATGTATGGGGACCATCCCCAATTTCATCTCTTGCAGGCTCACTATATTATGTCACCTTCATCGATGATTCAACAATGAAGGTGTGGGTTTATTTTTCGAAGAAGAAATCAGAAGTCTTCGATACCTTCAGAAAATGGAAAGCCATGGTGGAAAATGAGACTGGTTTAAAAGTCAAGCGGTTGAGGTCTGATAATGGAGTAGAGTATAGAGATAGTAGATTCAAAGATTTCTGCGCAAATAATGGGATCAAGATGGAGACAACAGTTCCCATAACACCGCAGCAGAATGGCGTAGCAGAGCGCATGAATAGAACTCTGAATGAACGTGCCAGAAGCATGAGGATACATGCCGGATTGCCCAAATTTCTATGGGCTGAAGCTATCAACACTGCAGCTTACCTGATCAACTGTGGGCCCTCAGTTCCTTTGGATGGCGGAATACCAGAGGAAGCTTGGAGCAAGAAAGAAATAAACCTTTCACACTTAAGAGTGTTTGGTTGTATTTCTTATGTACACATAAACTCTGCTGAAAGAAGTAAACTTGATGCCAAGTCCAACAAATGTGTATTTGTTGGTTACGGTGGTGATGAGTTTGGTTACCGGTTTTGGGACTACGAAAATCGGAAGATCATTAGAAGCAGAGACGTCATTTTCAATGAAAATGTGATGTACAAAGACAGGTCAACCGCAGAATCAAGTAATACCGAAGCTGAAACAAAGGAATTTGCTGAGTTCGAGGAGATTTATGGAAATGATGTTCAGATCAATCCTGAAGCAGTTCAAGAGGAAGAACTAGGCACACCAGAACTGAGACGCTCCTCCAGAATTCCTAAACCAACCCAACGGTATTCTCCTTCTTTGCACTACTTGTTGCTGACTGACAATGGTGAACCAGAGTGCTATGATGAAGCAATGCAAGTGGAGGATTCAGTCAAGTGGGAGTCTTCCATGAAAGATGAGATGGACTCGTTTATGTCAAATCAGACATGGGAATTAGCTGAATTACCACCAGGCAAGAAAGCGCTCCATAACAAGTGGATTTACAGGATCAAAGAAGAGCACGATGGGAGCAAACGCTATAAAGCAAGATTGGTTGTCAAAGGTTTTCAACAAAAAGAAGGTATTGATTACAATGAAATTTTCTCTCCAGTCGTGAAGCTATCTACAATCAGACTGGTGTTGAAAATTGTAGCTGTAGAGAATTTACATCTTGAGCAGTTAGATGTAAAGACAGCTTTCCTTCATGGTGATTTGGAGGAAGAAATCTATATGAGGCAGCCAGAAGGCTTCATAGAGGTAGGCAAGAAAAATCTGGTATGCAGGTTGAAGAAGAGCTTGTATGGTTTAAAACAAACTCCTAGATAGTGGTACAAGAAGTTCGATAGTTTCATGAGTAGCAGTGGTTTTACCAGATGCCAAGCAGATCATTGTTGCTACATCAAGAGGTTCGATAATAGCTTCATTATTTTATTGTTGTACGTTGATGGCATGCTCGTTGCAGGCTCAGACATGCAAGAGATTATAAACTTGAAGCAAAAATTGTCAAAGCAGTTTGCTATGAAGGATCTGGGCGCTGCAAAGAAGATTCTTGGATGAGGATCAAGAGAGACACAAAGTCGGGGACTTTGATATTATCACAGGCTGAGTACATCAACAAAGTACTCTCCAGGTTCAACATGCAAGATGCTAAACCAGTAAGTACACCTTTAGGTGTTCATTTCAGACTCTCCAAAGAACAGTCACCAAAGACGGAGGAAGAACGTGCACACATGGTGAAGGTGCCGTATGCCTCAGCAATTGGAAGTCTGATGTATGCCATGGTTTGTACCAGACCAGATATTGCTCAAGCAGTGGGTGCTGTTAGCAGGCACATGAATAATCCGGGCAAGGTACACTGGGAAGAAGTCAAATGGATCCTCAGATATTTGCGGGGTACCACAAACAAAACACTTTGTTTCAAAGGTGGCGATACGATACTGACAGGCTATGTAGATGCTGACTTAGCCGGAAATGTTGACATCAGAAGGAGCACTACAGGGT